TGCACCAAAACAAATTAAGATTTCACTAACTTAACTAATGGAAACCGCACCTAGATAAATCAACTTTAAACCCTAGATTAGCCAACTTAGAAATGAAACCTAGGTCCATACACACCCCTATAATAGTTTAAGTCCAGAATCCTGTGTTAGATTACTTGGTACCCCTAGTTAGTGCTAAGGAATAAAATATATGAAACTTTAAGCCTATAAGCACCTTTGACCATTTAGGTACCTTTGGACAGAGTAACTTGTGATTATTGAAAAGGCTCAACTCAAACCTTTTAATACATAATTTTCAAATCAAATCTTTCAAATCAAACATTCAAATCAAACTTTGTTTTGAACACCCAAATAATAACCAATAAATCAACTTTCAAAACTTGGTTCTTTATTTTCTTTTGAGATAGTGCTATTATCACTCTTTATTACTTAATTAATATTGTTTTCTTGTTTGATTATTACAACATTGTAATAATATAATAATTATTTGTTTTCTTAATCTAGTGATGGTTGATATAATCTCAAATTTTATAGCACTTCCTTAACATTATTGCAAATGAAGGATTATAACCCTCCTTTGGTGTTATACTAAAATTATGATTAACTTTTGGATCGACCAATACTTATATAAAGACTATGAACTTGTTAGTTTTTTTTGTCTCTCAACCTAGACTTAAATGAGTCGGAAATACTGAAAAATATGAATGGCTACTTGATGATAAGGATAATAATTAGGATAACTATAGTCATGTGAAGACTTTTTAGAATTAAAGCTATGAACTTTTATTTAATGTTTGTATAAAAAATTATATGTATTTAACTTCATAAAAAGGAATATTTCTTCCTGAATTGTCAATAGAGAGAGGATGATAATATAAGGTCATTTCAACCATAAACTACCACTAGTTACTCAAGACGAGGAACTCATTCTATTTTCCTATTTAAAATTCATAGGTGCGAGGAACATTCAATTTACCCTTTTTAATCATGATATTCATCGTTAAACTCTTGAATTATTTCACAATCAAATCAGCATGATTTAAAATGCTTTTATTTAAGTTACTGAGTACTTTACATGTCATTTGAAAGACATTCTTGAGAGATTACTAATATATTGGTGAAGATTGTGGATCGTTCCTTTCAATATTACCAAAGTTTCCTTAGAATGAATCTAGCACAACTTGGGATTGCTATTGCTATCCATGATTTATAACTTTGTTACCTTACACCTATTGAGATTTTGTACAACAAAATATTTAATTGTAGAAGGGAAAACATTTTTAATGAGATTTTTGTCACTCCAATATTTTCATCTCTTTGATGTTTGGTGCTCCAAGGAAAAACTTGATTATATTAATGTGGTCTTCTAATTAAGCCTTTTTAATTGACTTTGCTATTGTATGATTGTCCAAGGGAATAGGTTGTATCACTTTAGGTTAATGCTTTAAGACATTGCAAGCAATTTTGGGGTTGCAAGGATTTGTTCACCTTTACAACATATGAAATCTCAGTTGATGGTAGAGAAATGGCCAGTACTATATTTGGGGGTTAGCAAAGTTACACTCTACCAAGCATGAGCTATCATGATTATCATTCTATTAGTTTTATCAATGAAATGCATTTTAAGTTGACTATCATAAGCAAATGAGTTTTTTTTTTTGCAAAATATATTACTTGTAGAGATATTTGGGGTGTCAATATATTCTTCTTCATTGACTTTCTATTTATCTGGGGCGTAGAAATATTTGAGAAATATTAGTGGGATTAAGGCTTTGTTGTTGTTGTTGTTGTTGTTGTTGTAGAAATATTTGAGAAGTCAACATTTTCTTCTTCATTTATACTTCAACTTTCTCAAAGGATTCCTTGTGTTTAAGCTCCTTCTATGTGAGTCCATGACCAACACATACCTTTTTGTTAGGAAGAACAACCATGTAGGCATTATTTGCTATCATCATGCCCTCTAAGTCATTGTTTATCTTAATTGGGTTTATTCGATTATAATCACTACTAAATTTTTGCAAGTGACTTGATTTTGAATAGGTCGTGAAGATTGAAGATTAATTTTTTTTTCTCTGAGTTTAAGTCCTATCTTGGTCCCTTTTGAGAAGACAATCCATCCTTCTATTTTCAAAATGAATTTATAGGGTGTCAACCTACTTGTAAAGGATTTTAATGTTTTCTAATGATATTTTGCGAGAATTATTAGCAATAAATCTTAGGAGGCACCTCTTAGGTTTCATGCCCTAATGCCTTCAACGCTTTTGGATAGTTGAAATCTCTCATCAGTGAATGTTAGTTGGCCCATAAAATAATGCTCATTGGCAGAACTTTTTTTATACATGTACATGTTTCAATTCAATTTTAAACTATACCAATTTAAAACGTACTAAAAAATAAATTAAAATTTGAATATTAGCTCATTAGTTAACTTCCTTATTTTGATCCAAGTTAAATATATGCCAAAAAAATCAAAATGTTTCAATCGATATTTAATCTCTAAATCAAGTTCAAAACCCTACATTATTGTTTTTACTCATTCAAATAATTCGGAGGTTAAAAGTTTTTTTTTTCCTTTTTATTTATTTATTTATTTATTTGAATCACATGCCTAAAATGATTCTTCCTCCCTAGTCTAAGTGGAATTTCCTTCCACTACCAAACACATTGCACATCATCAATTGTAATCTTATCACTAAAAAAAAAACAAACATTCCATCTACTTCAATCTTTTCAAAATTAAATATGCCTCAATATTCTTAAGCTTCCATGTGGACTTGATTTAGGCAGAGATTAACATAACATAAATAGTTTTACATTCTAAACAAATGTTATAAATTTTCAGGCCTGAGAAAGTTTCAAGGACATGATCGACTTTTCCACATCTGCGACCAAACAATTTCTCAAATATTATTATAACAATACTTTTTTTTTTTTTAATTTCTATTGTTGCTATTGTTGACGTAAATTTCATGGAAGAAAAGCATTGTAGACGACAATATGTCAGGCGAGTTAGGTGCTGATTTTTTCAATATATTGCTATATTATGAATTGACAAATGTTATGATGACATGCAATAACATCATGAATAAATAATTTTGATGTTTTTTATATACTCAAATGTCACATACAATATTATTGAAAAGATTTGTAAAGGTTGTAACACTTTAGACAATAAATCTAAATAAATTTATTAACATTGATATATTCAAACCTTAGTTGTGAATGACATTGAATGGCATGAAAGTATATGACATAACAAGTGACAACTAAATCATTTAGTAGATAAATATCAAATGTCATACGCTTTAGTTTAATCTTTCGTCAAGAACTGCAAAAAAATAATATATTTATTATTTTTGTAATTACTTTTATGTTAAGAAATAGCTGTTTAAATTAGAAAACATAAATGATTATATGTTATTTTAATTTTATGAGAAAATCTGCATTTTTTTTAAATTATAAAATATTGTGAGATTTTTTGCTTCTATTGAAAAACAAATAAAAGACAACAAAACTCAAAACTATTAATC